ATTAGGAATAATCGAATTATTCAAATGGTCCACAATCGTTCATATGTTGGGAGTAGATATGAATGAAGATTGTCATGAATTGGTGTGTAGAATGTCTAAATGGTGTTAGACATAGCAAGGGTTGCTGCAACGTTCATGAGTGCTTATGAACTGGTTTTGAGCATTGGAATAAACCCGCACTTGCTGGAATCACCTTATGGAATACGATATAAAAGGTGATCGCAAGACGATAATATCATATAGTCTTAAAACCTAGATATATTGTTTATTATTTGTTAATTGATTGTACATTGATAATGCGAAAACGCATCAGTAACTCGGTGTTATAAAACGCATTGTTGTGTATAGTTGGTTAATGGGATAAGTAAATGCATATAAGTCAAAGTTTATCTGTAACTTTTATCTAAGAAGGTAAAAGCGATATCTCGGCCACTCGATGATTTGATTTGACTTATGTGCCGGGCCCGGTCAGAACTGAATTGATGTGTTTGATTAGGTTCTATGTCAAATAAATCGGAGATCGAGAAATCAAATGCTTGACTAACCATTCCATCGGATTGTCGGCATGATATCTAACAGAGGACTGTACGATCCCTTATCTAAAGGACAAGATTGATTAGATCAGAGTTGACAGCGTCTTTGAGAGCTACGATTGCAAACCGAATTGTACTTGTATAGTTACTAGACTTATCCAAGTGGGAGACTGTTGGAATAGTGTCTAAGGCTGCAACTATATTAGGCAAGTATTTGATCCGGTTGTGCATGGTCCTTTTGGGTTGCCTTCACCATAGCAACTTGATGGATGATTTGTTAAGAGAGAGTAAATATTATAAGGAATAATATATGGTTATTTGATTAATATAAGTCATAAATTAATTGGAATTAATTTGGTGACTTAAAGAGATTAATTAAATAAAGAGGTATAAACTGTCAATTGTTTGATAGTTAAACTTTAGACTATAAATCCATTGGGATATGCTTTGGACGAATTCTATGAGATATATGATAGCTAAAATCGTCCAAAGGCTTATCTATGGAATGGATTTGGATAGCCTTAAGAGAAGATTATCCAATTAGGGTTTAGGTTGTAACCCTTAAGGAGTCTACAAGTATAAATAGACCCTAGGGTGAGGGAATTCGACACACCATCTAAAGTAGAGATACTCTGGCCGAATTCCTCCCCTCTCCTCTCTCCTAAATCATCTTGCTTGCTATTGGTGTTTGTAAGCCATTAGAGGAGTGACATTTGTGACTCTAGAAGCTCCAAGACAACAAGATCAACAAGGAATCCAAAGGTATGATTCTAGATCTATTTCAATGTTGTTATTTAACCTAATTAGCTATTAGAAGTCTTGGATTCAAAGCATGTTTAATTAGAAAGCCTAGATCCAAGCATTAGGGTTTTTCATGCTCACATAGGAAAGTTCTTATGGCTAAAACCCGTCACTATCATAGAACATTCAACCCACATATCGCAACTCACGCTATCCACATCCATCCATCCTCACTGTCGGCTACCTTATGCATGCAAATTATACACATAACAGGATCTAATAGACTGTCGAATAATCACTATACCCTAGGACCACAACCAGACAAGGAACAGGAAATAAGGCCAAATAAATTATTCTAAGGCTATAAGATCGTAACTGTATACAATTTTAAAAGCATACAATTAGTAGTTACTAATATCAAAAATCATTCTCATTCTAGCATGGCATACAATATCTCCAAGGCTACAAGCATCACACATCAAGCCAAACTAGTGATGGCTACTCCGCACTAGCATGCAAGTCTACCAGCTCATACTACATATAAAGGCATCTCTCCTAGCCCTAACTTGCATGCGATTCTCAGATTCATAAATCAAATCATAACAGATGGCATATATGGGCTTTCTGGGAAAACTAACTTGAGCTCATTTGATTGCATGCACCACACCCTATCTTGTCTTTCAAAACTCTTTTCTCAAAAACATTTTTTGAGTTCTGACACACACGAAAGTATGTCCAAATCCCTCAAACCAAGGCTCTGATACCAACATGTAACGACCCAAAAATCAAGGGTAAAAATTTCATTTTTAATATAGTCAAAACATAGATATCATTATTTTTAAACATCCAAAGCATTATTAATTAAAACATTTATCAAAGTCCATCCCAAAATCATTCGATGCGGAAAACTAGGGTGTGTGCACTGCAATAAATCCGGGTCCTTCTTTTCCAAACCGATGATACCTGAAACAATAAACAAAACTATAAGCACGAAGTTTTGTGAGTTCCCTAGAGCATACCCCACATAATCCACATAACTACACAATCCATATCAGGTATAATAGTTACATAAACAAGATCAATCACCTATCCATATCAATCGCATAGCCTTGAATATAAACATATATGGATGTCGTGGGCTTGTCCAAAGGGTATTACTCCAGGATGCCATGGGATCCCCACATGGTCTTACATCTAAGTGCTATGGGATCTCCCATGGTCTTTAATAGGAAAGCCATGGGCTCTCCACATGGTCTTACATCCAGGTGCCATGAGCTCTCTCATGATCTTCCATCCAAATATCACAAAGACAGTTAGCATACCACATGATCACTAGCACAGTAGTTTCGGACACGGGGCAGCATGCGAGGATCCGGGTGATGTGGCTGAAGTCTCACCATGAAAAATTTCTCGGATTTGGGATTTTTCTCGAATTTTGTGCCCCGAATTTCAAAAATCCATAACTTTTGCATACAAGCTCCATTTTTGACGTTCTTTATATGCACGTGTAGGTGAAATTATGATCTACAACTTTCATTTAGACTTTGTCGGCTAATTTTGACTTTATTTTTAATATTATTATTTTTAACAGACTGGGATAGGAAAATCCGTTAAAAATTCATAACTTCTTCATCTGACGTCCGTTTTCATCTGTCATTTTACCATTGTACTACTACTGACGAATCCTTCGATTCTCGTTTAGGTTATATCGGATAAAAATCACTAGATCCAAAATTCGAGTTTTTAGTTGTCTACTGCTAAACTGAAACTTAAAAAAATCACAACTTCCTCATACGAAGTCAGATTTGGGCATTCTTTTTATGCACGCTCTCAGTTTAACGAATACTACGACTTTCATTTAGATCGATAAGGCTAAAAATCAATTTATCGTAAATTCACTTTTTACGTCACACCACATCATGTTGGTTTTGTCGCAAAACTTCGACAGTTCATAACTTCTTCGTTATAACTCGGATTTTGGTATTCTTTATATCTCCGAAATCCTTGTTTCGACCACTACAACTTTATCCTTAGATATCGGCTTTATTTAATATTTATTTTCGACGCTTATTTTTATCATTAATTCTTGAATCATAATAATTAAGCAAATAAGCACATAATTCCTCTTTATTACTTCAAAATGAGTTACAAAGGTTGACCTAGACTATTACACCATTATTAATGCTTTAGTCTAGAAACACGGGCATTACAATTTATGTTTTATCTTTTTCAGAAAAATCAAAAATCACAAAAATATTTTCTGTTTTATCTCTTTCAAAAACTCAAAATCACATTAATATTTTCATTATTTATGTTTTATCTTTTACCAAAATCAAAAATTACAAAAACATTTTTCTCTTTTTGTGTGTTATTTTCATAATACATTTTTTCTTCGGGTACAAATTATTGTTACCTCAATTCAGAACAATGGGGCAGGTATTTAATTCTTAATCTTTGTAGTAGCTAAGTGTTCCTAGAAGCATGTTGTTGCATACTGACCCAAGCCTCTGAGACTCTATGTTTGAAGCCTTAATGAAACTTTCACTCTGATCCTTTCTTCCCAATCAAACTGATATTCACATAAGTCATTGAACTAACTTACTCTTCTCATATTGAGTTACTAGTTGATTGCTTGGTCATTCTTTTATAGCAGAGGTATACTTTTCTCTTCGGAACCAATCTCATAGTTCTCCATCAACCTCACTTTCATAACATGTAACCCTTGAGACTCTCAGCATTTACCACTGAGGTTTATGGTTACACAACATCTATGTTCATGATCTTTAAATCGTTATCACCACAATTTAAGTGAAACCCATAATTTGAATCCTATTTATGAATTGACATTGAACAATTAATATGTTCTAAATTTTTCACTAAGGAGTTGACACATATAACCTTTTTGGTTGGTACCTGCAAAGTTTAAAATATCATATTTTTATTTTTGAGTGATCTTTATGAAAATCTCTCAACCCAAGACTTTTCTTCCCAAAAGATCCAATTTTATTTTTTTGAGATTCTAAGAAATATCATGTCACTTCAAATAAATCCAAAGCTTACTTGTTATTATGGCTACACTGGTCAAACAAGTACTTTTCTTCCACCCTTGAAGCCTACTCAAAAAGAAGCCTTTTACTATTTCTAAATAAATAGATGAACACAATTCAACGGGAAGCCACACAAGCACTTCCAAATCTCTCTTGATTCAGAAGGAAGAGATCTTTGCCCGGGATCCATCTGAATTTCATGTCACTTTTAGTTGACATCCCTAAATCCTAGAAATCCACTTTGCTTTATTTTCTTTTTCTTTGGCACACTTTTGCACAATAATATTTATGATTTTTCCAAGTCTTGTACTAATTCATGTGGATTACTGTTATTCCGAGAACAGAATATGGTGTATTGGCTTTCACTCCAAATGATAGAAACTAAAACGACGGTTTTCTTGGGTGATAAGGATTCAAACTAAGGTCCATCCTTTTTCCATGCCTAACATCACGCGTGTTAATTTTACTGCCACCTAACACATACAGTTGTCGTATATTTCTAGGCTACTTTACAAGGACATGGGAACATCAAACGGCAAATTTTTCTCTCTCCACTTATCACAGACATATAAAAAGGGCTTTGACGGTTTGGTTTCTCTCACCGCTCATGAAGTATTTGAACTCTCACAGCAAATAACCCTTTTCCTCTCTACTGTTCATCGTCTTCTTCAACGATTCCATGGAAGGATCATCTGACACTACTTCTTTTGTTGATCAATCAACCTCTGTTCTCTTGTTGAACGTGAAGTCGGGTCAAAATTTGATTCTCGATCTCACTGCCTCACGCTACAATGAAGCCTTAAAACCTATGATTGAATGTATGCGTTTCTCGCCACTGGCTCAAGCTTTGACCATGGTAGAATCTATTCCTCTCCTCCATCTTTCGAAGGCGTATACCTTTGTATCTTATCTTTTAGCAAATGGTGTGATTAACTTTGAATTTGATTCTCGAAAGACCTCTATCTCTAAGTCTCAATTCAGCAGAATTCTAGGGTTTGATTCGACTGAAGGGCTTGTTGATCCTGACTTGATTTCTTCCACAGATCTCATTCACATGTTCTATCATATGGGTTACCTTGAGGATATCACATTGTTATCTAAGTTTAGGAAGCCAAATCTTCCTACTATGTGGAATGGTTAATTTATGTTGTTGTTCAAGAGCCTTTCGAAACATGTTGCCAGCTCTGATAGTACAAGTAAGCTCTTTTATACCATCATCTTTGGTCTTTTTCACGGTGTCAAGTTGGATTATGGATCGATTCTCTAGACTCAACTCATTTAGAGCACATCGTCATCGACTCATAACACTGGAATTTCTTGCACTCATTTTTTGGTCGTTAATCGTCCATAGAGCCTTAATACACTTCAAGATTCCTTTTCAGGATGATGTTGTGGTTGCTGTGATTCATATTCTACAGACATCATCATTCATGATGTCGGATCCAACCAAGTTTACTTTTGTTGGATCAATTCTAGAGGTGATGCTTGCAAAGGTGCATCTGTAACATCCCGACTCTAAGGTATAAATTTAAATTGTTTTATATTCATATTGGTAGGGCAACTCGACGAGTTGGATGCTCCAATTCGTCGAGTAGAGACTGAGATTGGCCGTTTGACTTTAGAACAACTTGACGAGTTGGTGGACTCAAATCGACGAGTTGGTCGACTCAAATCAACGAGTTGGAGTTGAGTGTGAAAACCCTAAATTTTTAGGTGTGCACCCTATTTAAAGGACCTTAAGTCCTTTACGATGCCTCCCTGAACACCTTATCACCCAGAGATAAACCCTAATCGAGTCACCTTCCATTTTGAGAGTGTGTGTAACACTAATCAAAATAGGTCAACAGCAATCACATGTGATTATACCAATCATGTAATGTGATTTTGTTAAACTAGTAATGTAGTGAACTCACTATGTATTTCATGATAATTCTAATATAAATATTAAATTTCATGCATACTTTATGGTATAAATAAAAGTATACGTCCATACGATTCCAAAAATATAGAGAACATCTAAATCTGACTTTGCATGAAGAAGTTATGATAAACCGAACACTATAAAATCTCTATAACATAAGGAATTTAAAATAGGCTAAGTACTAGCTATTTGAGTCTAAAAGAGAGTTTTAGTGCCCGAAAATACCTACGCGTCGATATAAAGAACGTCAAAAACAGAGTTCATATGCAAAAGTTACGACTTTCCGAAGTTATAGTTGTCTGAGTGTACTACACATGTCAGAAACCCTAATCTGACTGGACTCACGACGTGAGCCTAAAAA